TGATGCCATGGCACTCTACCCAGGGGGATAGCTTGAGGCTCCGTCTCAAAAAAAAAAAAAAAAAGAAGAAAGGGAAGTAAGATGTGAGTGTGGTTATATGTAAAAATTAGAGAATTATTACATATGAAAGCACTTTGAAAAGTGCAAGTGCTTTTCTATTATAAAATGCCCTCATATTTTTCTTTCTTTTTAGGATTTAATGAAGACACTTCGCAAGGAAACAGATTTGAAACAAATACAGACTCTAGTACAAGGAACTAATACCCGACTCAAATATTCACAAAGTGAATTAGACATGATTAAAAAGAAGCACCTTGCTGCTTTTTCCAGGGTAATCCAGACTTACAAAAAATTTGATGGAAATTAGAACCAGAACATAAAATTTCAGGAATTATATTTGAATAGCACCATGTAATCTTTATATACTTTTCCCTATGATTGAGATTATATTATGGTCCTTTAATTATCTTTTTGCTACCCAACTGAATTCATCTTTATCTCATGGTTTCCTCTTTTACTCTAAAAGACACCTGTCATATTTTTCTACTTCACTATATAAAGCTAAATAAGCCATATTAAAAAGAAAATTTTCTTTTGTTATTAGGAACAATCTCAGCTACAAAGTGAACTACTAAATATTGACTCTCAGTGTACTATGTTGAGTGAAGGAATCAAAGGCCGACAACAGAGAATTGAAGAATTTCAGAAAACAATAGATAAGGTCATGAATGTTGTATTTATTACTGAATGGCATATATAATTCTAGACTAGATTCCAGGTTTAGGGCTTCTTGAATATGGGCTAAAGCAAGGGTTGATAGGTAACAGCGCCTGCCCTATCAAAAACACTGCATAAACTTAAAGTTTTATTGGTTTGCCAAATTAATTTTCTTGTATCTTTTGAGAATCACTATTGCTGATCTCAAGAGATGGTGACTTGTGCACACTGTCTTGTTTATAACCTCTCCTTGCCCACTGTAAAAATTACAGCTTTTTTCTTTTCTCTTACTTCCTTAACATCAAGAGGAAAAGAATTGTCATTCAAGTTATCTTTTGAGGTTACTTATTCACTCAGTAGTTATCTTTTTTTTTTTTTTTTTGAGACAGTCTCACTATGTTGCCCTGGGTAGAGTGCCATGGCGTCACAGCTCACAGCAACTCTAACTCTTGGGCTTAAGCAATTCTCTTGCTTCAGCCTGCCAAGTAGCTGGGACTACAGGTGCCCACCACAATGTCCAGCTATTTTTCTTTTGTTGCATTTGTCATTGTTTAGCTGGCCTGGGCTGGGTTCGAACCCACCAGCCTTGATGTATGAGGCTGGCACCATAACCCCTGTGCTATGGGTGCCGAGCCAATAGTTATCTTTTTAAATATCTACTAAATTTGGCTCTAAGACATTAAAGATGTGGTCATCGAGCCTCTGCTTATAAAGTGAGAGGAGCTTTCTGATTTAATCCATTCTACTATTAGGTATCTCAAATCCTTAGAAAGTTATTTGTTATACCACCGCCGTATTAATTTCACTCATTGCTTTTATTGCATGGTTTGAAACCACACTCAGGTTGCTCCTCAATTATCTCTTTTCCAGGTTAAATATCTCTAATTTCTTTAATCACTTTATATTACCATAGATTTAAGACCAGCTCTGGTAACCATCTTCTGAATGCTCTGTTGTTTATCAACACACACTATAGTATTATTCACATTTAAAGAATATTTATTTATTTAAAATGTTGTATTTTGATGTGTCTAAAGTAAGT